TGTGACCTTTCCCAAGTTGATCACCCTGCCCTTCTTCTGACATACCTTTGGGTGGGTTGGAACCACCAAGCTTAACCAATTGTACTACCCAGGGACTCCTTCTACTTGTAAAATGAGAATAAGTCTGGCATCGTTAAATTAAAAAAAAATCCAAATCCGTTACTATGGAGGCGATTCTGGCTCATAGTGACCCTGTGAGGCAGTGGAGAGCAGCCCCATAGCGTTTCCAAGGCTGTAAATCTCTATGGAAGCAGACTGCCTCATCTTTCTTCCATGGGGCAGCCGGTAAATTCAAACTGCTGACCTTTCAGTTAGCAGCTGAGTGCTTTGCTGCTGTGCCACCAGGGCTACCTGCGTCATAGGATCAAATGTGATTATATATGCAAAACGCCTCAAACAGTGCTTGGTATAGAATATTCTAATGTTTTTTGGAAATGGTCAAAATTTAAGTCAAAATGGGTGAAAAGCTTAGAAATCTGAAAATCCAAGCATTTTGCAAATATGCTACTTCCTAAGAATGCTCCTGAGAAACTGGCCCTCTATACTTCTTCAGATAAAAAGGACTAATTCAGAAAACTTATGCTGGATGATGAATCTATGATTCCCAGAATGCAGTTACAACACGGGCAATTAATTAGGCACAACATACCCCAACGCTTAAATACTGCTTCCTCTTGTCCACTCTAGTGGTGCGAAATCTGGGTAGGAGACATTTCTCTGGTATCTAGTGTCACTATTCCAAAAGGTTCTTCATTTTTAATGAGTGATGACAACTATTTGTGAAAACTAAGGCACTTCTTTGCCAGGTAAAACTGGATTTTTTTTTTTTTTTTAATTGTGCTTTGGTGCAAATTCACAGAGCAGAATTTGTTTTACATTCGACAGTTAGCCTTCATTTGGTTTCACTCCCCCATTACCACCCCCAACCCTAAAGCACTCTCCTCCCCTCCCCTCCCTGCGACCCTCCCATCCCTGTAAGCTTCTCAGTTACACGCTCCTGTCTGTCCAGCTTTCCCTCCATATGAATGTACCCCGTGGCCGTTTGCTCCAAGGGATGTGTCTCCCTAAAGTAGATGGACGCATCGCCCTGGGTTGGGTGTTCTGCATGTAAGTCTTTCTACTGTTGGGCTGAGAGCCAGTCCTTGGGAGTGAGTCTTATCTCAAGCCCATAGTCTTGGGGGGTCCCACCAGGCTCCATTTGACCAGTAATTCTAGTCCTTATCGTGTTTCTGGATTTTGTTCTACGTTTTTCCTAAAACTGGGATCATTTTTGTCTTTCAGCCTCAACACCTTCATGCTTGTGTGCCAAAAAACCTGGCTAAAAATTTAATTTAGTTCAGATGTTTGTTGACGGTTAGCTTCATAAAATAAATATCATATTCATGAAGGGGGAAAACGCACTTAGACTGACATAATGTAATGGCTGCATCTACCACCAAACACTGATGGTCAGTTTCAGCAGCATAACACGAGGCAGGCGAGGCCTGGACGGTAACAGTAAGCAGCGCTCGAAAGATAGGTACATTTCCGGTTAACAGCCTCATTTCCCCACATTCTCCAAGGAACGAGGGCGGCCAGTCTTGCTGATGGCATCGGCTGACATCACTTGTTCCGGACCATAGGAGGACAGGAGAGCGTGGGGCCACCGGGCTCACCTCATCCCTGGTCGCCTGCATTAACCCCTCCGCATCCAGCTCTAGCCAAGGGAGGCGCCTAATACGGTCAGCCTCCGGAGGAACCCCGGAGCGCTCGCCTGTCTCCAGCGAGGCGGCGAGCCGGGAGGGTGGAACAAATGTTTACAGTCACCACACTCTGAAAGAAAGCAAATGGGGATCTGGGTTCGCTTCTGAGCCAGTCCAAAGTCAGCTGCAGCAGAAGCCCCTGCCTTGGGCCATCAATCATCTAATAAACCCCAGCGACTCCAACGTCTCCAGGCGGCTTTCTGCTGTCGCGCTTTTCTGACTCCCCCTCACCTCCTGCTATACTTGCTCGTCCCCGCGGCGCTGGTCCTCTTTTATGAGCGCGCGGGGGTCGGGGTGGGCTGCCCTGGGACCTTGGCTCGCCTGCAGTTGCGCCTCTGGTCCTAGCAGCCTGGGGGAAACGCTGCTGCAAGGCGTGTCTGGGGCTGTGCTCATGTGATGAGGCGAGGGAAAAACAACGGGAGGGGAGGAGGCAAAGAGGTGGCTTTTTTTTTTTTTTCTTTTAAGGAGTTTGCCGCGAGCGCGTCTCCTTCATTCGCAGTCGGGGAGCGTTGGAGACGGCAGGCGGAGAGGAAGGCGCGCGTGGGACCTCGCCGGGCGCAAGCCTCCTTGCTCGTCCCTACGGTTCCGGGGAGGTGTAACCCCGAGGCTTGTCGCGGGAGAAGCGGCGAGAAGCCATGGGCGTCGGCAGCTCTACCGAGCAGCGCCCGGAGCAGCCAGAGGCGGAGAGCGCGCCGCCGGCCGAGCCCGCGCCCAGCACCGGAGACTCTTTGGAGGAGGCGGCGCCCAGCGCGCTGGGGGACCCCGCTGTCGCCGTCGCAGACACCGCCACAAAGGTACTGGCGCGCGGGCCACCTGCCCGGGGGTTGGGGCGGGGGCTCCCCGTGATTTCGCCCGCGAGAACTTCACGGCCCGGCCCGCCCCTCTGCAAACTCGAGAATACAGACCCCCTCTTTCTAGGCTTTTCTGGGGCTGGTGCGCCGGGGCGGGACTAGAACCGCGGCATGCGCGGCCGGCGGCTTGAATCTTTGTCGTGGGTCTCCAGGGCAGGCGACTGCGCCATCCGCAGTCATAAAATCCGCCCTTACCCACCGCCAAGCCTTTCTGCACACTCTTCCGGTGGGAGCGACCCAGCCCGAGAGAGGATGCGTGGGGCGAGTCCGTGGAGAACAGCCCCCAGGCCGGGCAACTTGAGCTCCCCTCCCCTTTTTCGGAGTGGGATCCCCCGCCGCGCCCTGCCCTTGATGCCAGCTGTGCCTGGAGCCACCAGGTTGGTACCCAGGGCTCCTGCGGCAGCGGCTTCAGCAGACACCGCCTTCCTGATGCAGAGAGGGCGTGTGGTGTGTGTAGCTAGCGCGCAGCCAAAGGAAAGCTGAGCAGACGCTGCATGGCCGTAGGGAATGACACATTTCGCAAACAAGTCAGCGTCCACCCTTTGGGTCAGTTCATTGTCTTTGGACTCAGTTTTATAAACAGATAACGGAGAAGTTGTGAGAAGTTCTGGAAGGATGTGGTCAGAGACATAAGCAAAGTTTCCCTGTATTCTTTTCTGCGGAGGTGGTTCTGAACCTCACATAGTCTAGGTTGACTGCAATTTATAGTCCGCAATCCCCCAGGCTGCTGCTTACCTGATCCTGGGCCACTACAGCTGCCAAGATTGTGACTTGGCGTGATTGTTGTATTTTAGATCTGTTTCCCAGCATGTGTGTTTAGGGCGTCACCCACTCGCTTTGTGACATCCTTATGGGAAGATGTGGAAGGCCAGACTTCAGACTTTAAAAACCCTCTTGTATCGGTTTGAAAGATAGTAAGTATTTAGGACCATTAAAAATAATCTGAGGAGGTATAAACGTTTCCAGTGTGTGTGTGTGTGGTGGTGGGGAAAGATTTGTAGGTAAATTTCAGAGAACTGTGACTTCATTGCTTTGACCTCTTTAGCTGCCCTAGTCTAGTTTGGGCAGAAAGGGCTCTAAGAATACAGTTTACCTCGTCTTTAACTCATATCTAACTACTTACAAGACCCTTGGGCCTAGAGCTATCGATGTTGTGTTTACTATGCCTGAGTTTCTGGCCTTGTTGTTGTTGTTGTTATGTGCCGTTGAGTCAGACCTGACTCATAGAGACCCCTCCTTGGGTTTCTGAGGCAGTATCACTA